GATGAAGCAGAAGAAAAGATTAGTCAACTCAAAGACAAGGCAGTGGAACTCATCCAATCAGAACAGCAAAAGGAAAAAAAGAATGAAGAAAGTGAGGACAGCTTAAGGGACTTATGAGACAACATCAAAAAACTAACATTCACATCATGGGGCTCCCAGAAGAAAAGAGAGAAAGGGGCAGTAATCTTATTTGAAGAAATAATGGGTGAAAATTTCCCTTACCCAGGGAAGGAAACACACATCCATGTCCAGAAAGTACAGAGAATCCTAAGTAAGAGGAACCCAAAGAGATCCACACCAAAACACATTATAATTAAAATGTCAGAAGTTAGGGGAACCTGGATGGCTCAGCCAGTTAAGCATCTACCTTCAGCTCATGATCTCAGGGTCCTGGGATCAAGCTGCGCGTCCAGCTCCCTGGTCAGCAGAGAGCCTGCTTCTCCCTTTCCCTCTGCCCCTCCCCCCTGCTCATGCATGCTCTCTCTCTCTCTAATAAATAAAATATTTTTAAAAGAGGGGGGATAGGGGCTGTTTGCCAGGAGGAGAGACCACGTGATTAGAGAGCTGGAACTTTTAGTCCTCCCCACCTCCAACCACAGGTGAGGAAAGAGAGGTTGGAGGCTGAATCAGCTAATGGCCAAAGACTTAGTCAATCTTGACTATGCACTGAAGCTTCCATATAAAACCCAAAAGGACTGGGTTCAGAGAGGTTCCAGGTTAATGAATACATGGAGATGGTGGGGGAAGGGGAGAGTGGCATGCATAGAGAGGGCATGGAAGTTCCATACCCTTTCCCCCAATCTTGTTTTATAGCTCTTCATCTGGCTGTTGATTCACATCCTTTATCATATCCTTTAGTAAATTGGTAAACATGCTTCCCTGAGTTCTGTGAGTTGCTCTAGCAAATCAACCAAACTTAAAGAGGAGGCTGTTAGAACCTCCAATTTGTAGCTGGTCAGTCAGAACACAGGTAATGGCCTGGGGCTTACAACTGGTGTCTGAAGTAAGGGGTGGAGAGCAGGCTTGTAGAACTGAACCCTTAACCTGTGGTGATTTTTCAAACACATCAATCAATTAAATGGAATAGAGAGCCCAGAAATAAACCCACACATACATGGTCAGTTAATTTACGACAAAGAAGCCAAGAACATACAATGAAAAAAGAACAATCTCTTCAACAAATGGTGCTGGGAAAACTGGACAACCAAATGCAAAAGAATGAAAGTAGACCATTATCTTACACCATACCCAAAAATTAACTCAAAATGGATTAAAGACGGGGCTCCTGGGTGGCTCAGTTGTTAAGCGTCTGCCTTCGACTGAGGTCTTGGTCCCAGGGTCCTGGGATCGAGGCCTGCATCAGGCTCCCTGCTCCGCGAGAAGGCTGCTTCTCCCTCTCCCACTCCCTCTGCTTGTGTTCCCTCTCTGGCTGTGTCTCTCTCTGTCAAATAAATAAATAAAATCTTTAAAAAAAAAAATGGATTAAAGACTTGAACACAAGACCTGAAACCATAAAACTCAGAGAAAACATAAGCGGTAAGTTCCTTTACCTTATTCTGACTCCAAAAGCAAAGGCAACAAAAGCAAAAATAAACAAGTGGGATAACAGCAAACTAAAATCTTCTGCATAGCAAAGGAAATCATCAACAAAATGAGAAGGCAACTTATTGAACAGAGGAAAGTATCTACAAATCACATATCCAATAAGGTTAATATCCAAAATATATAAAGAACTCACACACTCAATAGCAAAAAACCCAAACAACCCAATTTAAAAATGGGCAGAAGATCAGATAGACATTTTTCAAACGGAGCCATACAGATAGATGGCCAATAGGCACAGGAGAAGATGTTCAACATCACTAATTATCAGGGAAATGCAAATCAAAACCATGAGATAGCACCTCACACCTTAAAAAGACAAGAAATAAGTGTTGGAGACAATGTGGAGAAAAGGAAATCTTGTACACTGTTGGTGAGAATAAATGTAAACTGGTGCAGCCACTATGGAAAACAGTATGGATGTTCCTCAAAAAATTAAATAGACTACCATATATATGATCCAGCTATTCCACTTCTGGGTATTTATTCAAAGAAAAACAAATGAGGGCGCCTAGGTGGCTCAGTTGGTTAAGTGACTGCCTTCGGCTCAGGTCATGATCCTGGAGTCCCTGGATCGAGTCCCGCATCGGGCTCCCTGCTCAGCGGGGAGTCTGCTTCTCCCTCTGACCCTCCCAACCCTCCCCCCTCTCATGCTCTCTCTCTCTCTCTCAAATAAATAAATAAAATCTTTAAAAAAAAAAAAAAAAAAAAAAAAACAGGGGCGCCTGGGTGGCTCAGTTGGTTAAGCGACTGCCTTCGGCTCAGGTCATGATCCTGGAGTCCCGGGATCGAGTCCCGCATGGGGCTCCCTGCTTGGCGGGGAGCCTGCTTCTCCCTCTGACCCTCCCCCTCTCATGTGCTCTCTGTCTCTCTCATTCTCTCTGTCTCAAATAAATAAATAAAATCTTTAAAAAAAAAAAACAAAAAAAAACAAATGAACAAACAAAACTCATGGATACAGAGAACAGACTGGTCATCAAAGTGGAAGGCGGATGGAAGGTACAAAATGGGTGAAGGAAGTCAACTGTATGGTGATGAACGGTAACTAGAATTACTGTGGTCACTTTGTAGTGTAAACAAATACCAAATTATGGACTCCTGGGTGGCTCAGTCGTTAAGCGTCTGCCTTTGGCTTGGGTCATGGTCCCAGGGTCCTGGGATCAAGTCCCGCATCGGGCTCCCTGCTCCACGGGAAGCCTGCTTCTCCCTCTCCCACTCCCCCTGCTTGTGTTCCTGCTCTCGCTGTCTCTCTGTCAAATAAATAAATAAGATCTTTAAAAAACAAAACAAACAAAAAAATTATATCATACACCTGAAACTAATATAATGATATATACCAATTTTACCTTAATAAAAAAAAAAAAAAGAAAATTAAGGTAAACTTCATAATCGTTTTTATGAATCAACTAAAAAAAAAAAAGCCCAAGAAATAACAAGTGTTAGTGAGGATGTGGAAAAAAGGCAACTCTCATGCAGTGTTGGTAGAAATGTGAATTGGTGTGGCTGCTACAGAAACACAATGTGGAGGTCCCTCCAAAATAAAAGAAAATACCATACGACCCAGCAATTATACTTGTACGTAGTTATCTGAAGACGATGAAAACACTAATTCAAGAAGATACATGCACCCCCATGTTCACTGCAGCATTTTTTACAATAGCAAAGATATGGAAACTACTTAAGTGTCCAATGATGGATGAATGGATAAAGAAATCGTATTATATATACTTCTTTATATATCTGTGTATACACACACACACACCAGATTATTATTCAGCCATAAAAATAAATGAAATTGGGTCATTTGTGACAACATGAATAGACCGTGAGGCCATTGTGCTAAGTGAAATAAGTCAGAGAAAGACAAATACTGTCTAATCTCTAAAACAACAACAACAGAAAAAAACCCACTCTGTATCAGAGAACAGATTGGTAGTTGCCAGAAGCTGGGGATAGGGTAGGAGAAATGTTCACTGTTTTGGGTTTTTTTTTTTTTTCCAATTTATTGAAACTAAAAGAATTTGGTTTCTTTCTCAGTTATTTCCCATTTCTGCCAATTAATTACTGTTAATAAAGGCAATAATATGTTTACCAAATATATTCACATCTTCAAAAGTAAACATGCAGAAAAAAGATGGCAGAAAGAAAATAACAGGAGCCAGAAGAAGACAAGACTACTAGAAGCTGATCTACCTAATTATGATAAAGGTAGACTCATCTTTAGATATAATGGAGTACTAGAAATTGTACCCCAAACCATGTACTTTTTCTTAGCTTTAGCAATTTGGTCAATGATGGAAACTGAACAAGGAATTAAAAGCAGTGTGAAGCTATAAGCCTGCACTGTCCAGTGAGCCACTATTAGCCTTACATGGTTACTGGGCACCTGATGTACAGCCAGTCTGAACTGAGATATGCCGTAAGTATAAAAGACACAATGGATTTTGAAGACCTAATATAAAAAAAATAATGTATGGCGCCTGGGTGGCTCAGTCGGTTAAGCGTCTGCCTTCAGCTGAGGTCATGATCCCAGCGTCCTGGGATCGAGTCCCACACTGGCTCCCTGCTCAGCAAGGAGCCTGCTTCTCCCTCTCCCACTCCCCCTGCTTGTGCTCTCTCTCTCAAATAAATAAATAAATAAATAAAATATCTCATTAATAATTGTTTACTGATTACATGTTGAAATAATAATATTCTGGATATACTGGCCTAAACAAAATATATTAAAATTAACCTGTTTCTTTTTCCTTTTTATTTATTTTTAAATATTTTATTTATTTATTTGAGAGAGCACGAGACAGAGCATGAGAGGGGAAAGGGTCAGAGGGAGAAGCAGACTCCCCGCTGAGCAGGGATGCCGATGCGGAACTCGATCCCAGGACGCTGGGATCCTGACCTGAGCCGAAGGCAGTCGCTTAACCACTTGAGCCACCCAGACGCCCCTCTTTTTTTCCTTTTTAAATGTGGCTACAACAAAATTTTAAATTACATATGTGGCTCACATTATATTTCTATTGGACATCACTGCTACATAGACCCTTATTAAATAGTGTTGAATAGGAAAAAACAAAGCAACTATAAAGTAGGGATTTTTCAGAGTTATTTCTACTGTTTGCTCTATTACCAACACTGTAACTCATTTAATTGCTAGCCCTGGTCCCTGACTGTAAAATAGAGGTTAAAGGGAAAAATCAGTAGCTGCATTAAGTCATGGATACATTAAAACATTGACTAAAAGAACAGAGTTCTAGTCCTGGTTCCGGCACTGGCTAGCAGTTACGATGGAAAAATCGTTTTTTTCTGAGCCTTGGTTGCCTGTCCCAACAATTAATTAAGAAAACTAAATTTAGATCTCTATGATTCCATCAAAATTGGTTTTCATAAAAATGAATACTCACCCTGAGTCTAACACATCCTCTGCGAGAGCCTCTCATCATTTTGTCCTTGGACTAAAAGAAAACAAAAACATTCAATGAATAAAAAATTAACAGACTATTTTTAGAATCATCTGGGGATAAAGAAAGAAAAATTATAGTAATATTCCCCATTCTTCATCCATATCCCCAATCCCTCTCCAACCCCCCAAAATCACTTAAAGCTAGGAATTAGCAGTTTCAAATGAATATGTTTTAAACTGGTGGTGTGGATGTTGGTGCATTGTTGGTGGAAATGTAAATTAGTGCAGCCACTATGGAAAACAGGAGGTTCCTCAAAAAATTAAAAATATAAATACCATACAATCCAGTAATTCCACTTCTAGGTATTTTCCCAAAGAAAATGAAAACACTAATTAGAAAAGATACATGCATCCCTATGTTTATTGCATTATGTACAATAGCCAAGAAATGGAACCAGGCTAAGTGTACACCAATAGATGAATGGGTAAAGAAGATACAGTGTGTGTGTATACACACACATATACACAATGGAATACTACACCATAACGAAGAATGAAATCTTGCCATTTGTGACAACATGGATGGACCTAGGGGGTATTATGCTAAGTGAAATAAGTCAGACAGAGAAAGACAAAATACCCTATGATTTCATTTATATGTGGAATCTAAAAAATAAAACAAACAGAAACAGACTCATAAATACAGAGAACTAGTAGTTGCCACAGGGGAAGAGGTTGGGGGGATAGAAAAAATAGGTGAAGGGGATTAAAAGGTATAAACTTCCAGTTATAAAATAAATAAGTCATGGCGATGAAAAGTACAGCATAGAGAACATAGTGAATAATACTGTAATAACTTTGTATGGTAACAGATGGTAACTATACTTATTGTGATGAGCACTGAGGTGTGTATATAAATGTTGAATCACTATGTTGTACACCTGAAACTAATATTGAATATCAACTATAAAAAAATAAAATAAAATGAAAACCTTTTATAGTCTATACAAATAAACCTAATCACAGAATTTTTGTGCCTTTAATATAGTATATATTACACTAATTTTAATTCCTTCTCATGCCCCTTAACTCTAGCTCAGTGTTTCTTTCTTTTTTTTTTTTAAAGATTTATTTATTTCAGAGAGAGCAAGAGCAAAAGTTGGGGGGCAGAGGGAGAGGGAGAAGCAGACCCCCCGCTGAGCAGGGAGCCCCATGCAGAACTCGATCCCAGGACCCTGGGATCATGACCCGGGCCAAAGGCAGATGCTTAATGACTGAGCCACCCAGGCGCCCAAGTTCAGTGTTTCTCCTATTTTAGAGAGTTTGAGAATTACCTAGAGGGCTAAGAATCACCCAGAAGTTAAAGATTCACTCCCAGATGATTATGACTCAGGCAGATGGAGGACCACATTTTGAGAAACACTGCTTTATCTCTTTTCAATTCCCCAAATGCATCACATTTTTTTGCCTCTGAGATTTCTCATCCAATGTTCCTCAGCTTGGAATGCCCTTGACCCTGATTTTCTGCCGTGCTATCACTCATCAACACCTTATCTTACCTGTGAGTTGGATTCCCATTCCTCTCCCAGATCTCCTGTATGTTCCTGTCATGGCATGTACCATCTTGTGCTATAATGACCAGTTTACTTGTCTACTCACCCACAACACTGCACATTCCCTAGGGAGCAGGAATTCTATCTGACTTATGCTTCAGAACAATGTCTGGCACACATTAGATGCTCAAAAAATATTTACTAATAAAATGTTGCTTACCCTGTAAGTCTCCCTTACTGGACGGGGCTGAACAAAGGCTATGTTCTGCATAATAAGCCTTATGTTGATATTCAGTAAATAGTCCTAAAATTAAATTTAGTCTTGTGTAATAAAGTGAATCCTCAAATATAATCAAAGTTTTAAAAATATTTAATGCCTCAACAACTGATATTTTTCTGTACTCCCCTATGCAAGAAAGAAGTAAAATAAGCCAACATCATGAAATTATGTTTTAAAGAAAACTGTCCCACTTTAAGCCAAGAATGCCCTCCATCCACTGTACTAAGTCACAGGCAAACTTCCAATTATGACTATACAGGATTTAATGCACAGCATTTTTTATAATTAACAATACTATATTATATACTTGAAAGTTACTAACAGAGATCTTAAAAGTCCTCATCGTAAAAGAAAAAAAAAGGTTAACTATGGGAGGTAATGGATTATGTTAACTAACCTTACTGTGGTTATCATTTTGCAATATATACGTATATCAAATCATCACACTGTATACCTTAAACTTATACAATGATATAATCAATTATATCTCAATAAAACTGGAAAAAAATAAATATTTCTTAGGGATATTTGTATGTCCGTATATAAAGATCTGCCTTACCCCTTTCATTGCCTGCAGTACATTCTATGAACACAGCTTATGCCATTTTTCATTGATTCTAAACTTATAAATGTAACAATATTACAATGATAAATCAAAGTTGATTCTTAAAAAAAGTACCAAGCCATACGAATTCATGTTAAAAAATGATTATTTTAAAAAAATTATTATTAAGGGACAGAAGACAGTTGTCTTTATTCCACTTAACATACAAAGATTCATACATTTTGTTAAAAAATTCTCACTACCAAGCACAGTCATAAGAGTTCTCTACTAACAATACAGTTAGCAAAAACACAGTTAACAAAAACATTCTCTAAGCATTTAATAGCCCTTTACCATACTCTAGACTTATCTTCAAAAGTGTCAAGGCATACATAAAAATACTAATTAGGTTTGAAAATACCCAATGAGAGAATACAAATCAAGGCAAGAACCAACATATTCATCCTTAATTCCTCTTCCACTTTTAAAAATATGGTTATAGTGAACAGGAAAAGAGTAAGAGAGGCCCCAGTGATGGTACCTAGGGTTATGAATTAGAAAACACTGAAAGAAATAAGTGAAAATAATTAAAACAAATATAACTAGAAAACAATCAGACAAGTCCAAAATGTGGAATACCCTACAAAATAATTGGCCTAGATTCTTTAAAAAGGTCCAAGAAAAAAAAAAGACTAGCATGTAAACAACTGTAATACAATGAAAAATTACATGAATATAGGCACAAAGCACCCTGAGCTACAGAAGACCCCCTGCTGTGGAAAAAGATCAGGGAATACAATACTGAAGTGACCAGGTTTCAAGTTTCAATCTGGGACTTAAAAAAAAAAAAAAAAGGTTCTAATAAGAAAAGAGGGGAGGTAGGAAGAAGAGGGCATTCCAATCCAAAGGACCACCACCAGCCAAGGCACAGATACAGAAAACTCTACACACAAACTATTCATAGAAGGAGAGTAGATTTATAGACCCAAGCACAGAGTGCAAAGAGGAACATGGAGAGAGATGAGGCTGAAAAGGAGATATGGGATCCAGATTCTGAAGAGTCTGAAAAAAATACTGAGTGGTTAAGGAAATCAAACTTTACTCAATAGTTAATGGAGAGCTACTGAGGATTTTTTTAGGAGGGTAATAACATTCTCAAAGGTGTGTTTTAGAAAAAGTAACACTGTTAAGTATGAGGACTTGGGCAAAAGAACGATGGTGACATTAATAGCAATAGCAGCAGCCAACAGTAGATTCTTACTGATGCCCTCTATATGACAAGCACTTTAGATACAGTAAACCTCGCAAGACTTGACATGGTAAGAATTATTTACATATTATAAATGAAAGTGACACCAGGGAGATCAAGTAAGTATTCAACATTACACATGTAAAATGTAGCAGAGTTTGAGACAGCAGGCACAATTTGGAATGGCCACCCTGCAAATCATTCCTCCAGACCACAATCTGCTCTGTTAGCCTGGAATCCTCTTCCACAATGGCACAGGGTCCTCTCATTCTCGCTCCACTCAGCTCTAATATGCAGCTTAAGGGAAGCTGGTGTGATTAAGTCCCTCAAGCACAGTGAGTGCTGAAGGGGTGGTGTCCACTACCCCACAAGGCAGAATAGAGTCCTTTCCCAGGAAGTTTTTCTACTGGAGCTGAAAGAAGAGCTCTTCCCATCTGTTCTTGAAGCTATGAGGTGTAGTTGCCATGAGACATGTGCCTTCTACATGAAGAAAGCAATACATAAAGCCTACACAGTGAGATGAGAGATGAGAGGTGGAAAGTCCTAGCTGCCAGTGTCCAGCTACACCCTGGAGAGCAATCAATCAGCAGGGTGTTGACTGCCTAAGCAAATGCCGCTCACTGAATATCAGGGTTTTTTTTTTTTTTTTTAATGAATATAAGTAGCTTCTGCTGAGAAAAAGGCAGGGCCAGCAAACCCACTCCAGTAATCTTCCTTCCGGGTGTTATTTTACCAATGTTCCGAGACCTTAAAATAAATTTTTAGCAGGCTGAAGAGTCACACAACCTGTAATTAGATGAGGGGCACCTGAGTGGCTCAGTCGTTAAGCGTCTACCTGTGGCTTAGGTCATGATCTCAGGGTCCTGGGATTGATCCCCCCATCAGGCTCCCTGCTCAGTGGGGAGTCTGCTTCTTCCTCTCCCTTTCCCCCTCCTCCCCACTCATGCACACGCACACTCTCAAATAAACAAAATCTTAAAAAAAAAAACAAAAAAACAACAATAACCTATAATGTAGATGAGATCCCTCTTTCTGCCTCCAGGTACAAGGTCAAGCACCTCAAGAAAGGATCATTCTGAAATGGATGCTAAAGTCTTTTAGGCTGGATGAGGATCCCCCATGAAGTGGGGAGATACACAGCTGATATGTTCTACTCCCTAAGGGATTCCAGGACTAACAAAGATTTTTGGGTTTTGTGGTTGCATTTGCTGATTTCTCGTATTTATTTTTTTATTTTAAAAGATTTTATTTATTTATTTGACAGAGAGATAGCGAGAGCAGGAACACAAGCAGGGGGAATGGGAGAGGGAGAAGCAGGCTTCTTGCCAAGCAGGGAGCCCGATGCGGGGCTCGATCCCAGGACTCTGGGATCATGACCTGAGCCGAAGGCAGACGCTTAACGACTGAGCCACCCAAGTGCCCAATC